GCTGTAAAATCTGTCTGTCTTTGTTATTACGCTCAGCGTCTTTTAGTTTACATTTTGACTGCACAATTGTGAGCTCTTTGTTTAGCACAAAAACAACCTTGTTTTCTTTTATTTATGGAGCATTATTATTTAATGAATGCTCATAATTTAATTTTGAGTAATTTCTTCATGTACATCTGTGCTGTATGTTAATAAAAGTGCCTGTGTGACATCTGGGACACAGCTTTGACTAAGAACTCTTTTTGTTCTTACTTTATGGCTTAAAAAAAATATCGAGATATATATCTTATATCGCCATCCAGCTAAAAAATATCGAGATATGAATTTTGGGTCATATCGCCCAGCCCTACCCTGGTGCATGCTGGAATCAGCACACAGACAACTAGTAGAACAAGTGTCATTTACCTTATTAAATTCATGACAGCAACTGGGTCATTTTTTCCTCTCCACTCTCTGTTCGCTGTCTAACTTTGAACTCTGGGGATCTAATACTGTTTGAATATTCCACGGTCTATTAACTCATGTCCTAATAACATTTCTTGATCGGAGGTTTGATCAGAGGAAGTTAATTTGATGAGCCTCTTCGACGGCTGAACTGATGCTGAAACGTTCCCGGTGGGGTGGCACACGTGACAGCGACTCCTGAGCACAATGTCCCACTTTTGCTTCCACAGCAGCTGCTTGAGGAGTGACTGTTTGGACACTAAGCCTTGTCACTTCTGCCCTGTTCCATCTACCTGCCTGTCTGTCCACTCTGTCTCTCCAGATCAACAACAAGACCAATGTGGTCACCAGTCCTAAAGAGCCTGTCCCCACTCCTTCTCTGGTACACTGTCTGCCTGCCTTGCTGCCTGTGTTTGCATGACTCTGTCTCTAACTGTAGATCTTTCATTACTTCTGCTCTGTGTAATATTTTACTTTCTGTTGTCGATGGTCACTGTTGTTTTCTTGTTCTTTCCATTTGAAACGTCTTTGTTGTGACATGAGGGTTGCTTTGTACATTGCTCCATTGCTACACATGGGCTACATTCTCCTTTGTTGTTGATGCCAGCTGTAATGGTACTGGGACCATTGCAAGCCAGCTGTGGCTAATACACTGTTGGTTGTTATTGCATTGAGACAATTAAGGTATGAAGATGGAGGAGTTCCTCGATGTTAGAGGCCGGCAGGTACAAAGGTCGCTGTTAGCAAAGCAGAAGGGAAACAGATCCGACTCATAAAACCAGATTTATGAAACACGCCAAAGTCAAATCACAAGTTGTAGTTTTCTTACACCCCCAGCTGGATGCCAGTATTCACACTAAAGTTCACCTCCTTCATGATCCTAATATATCCTCACCAGAGTGTCTGCTAGGTGCACCTCTGTACAACTGCTCATCAACACAAGTATCCAATCAGCAAGCTACACAGGAGAAACTCAGTGGGTGGGGTCAAGACGGGCTGCTGAAGTTCAGAGCATCAGAACATCGAAGAAAGACAGTTTTAAAAAGCGTGGGTAGAAAAGCTGGATGGGCTGCAGTGTGTATTTTGGAAACTGCTGATCCACTACGGTTTCCCACCCAACAATCTCCTGGCTTCACAGACAATAGTACCAAAAAGAGAAAATATCCGGTGGCGGTAGTTCTTTGGGCCAACAATGTCAGAGCAGGATGGCCAAACTGCTTCGAGTTGATAAGAAAGCAACAGTGAGTCAAATAACCACTGATTATGCCCAAAGTATGCAGAAGAACATGAAATGGGGCTGTTTTCTTTGAGCACTATTTCAACAGCACAGCCGCCCTGAGTGTCCACCCATCTTATGACAGCTGGTTCCAACTGGTTAATGTCTCGTACTGGGATCAGTCCAGACCAGAGCACCACTGGGATGTGGTGCAGCATTATTTGGACCTGCAGCTGCACAATGCTGTTGTGTCAGTGTGGACAGGAAGCTCCAAACCTTGTTGAATATATGCCACAAAAGGCGTACCTAATAAAGTGTCTGGCAGAGGAGAACATAAGTAGATTTTTTATAAACAATAACCTCACGTGGACCTGAAATTGATCTCATCTTCAAGTCTAGAGAACAGTTGTGAGGTATTTTGTTCTGGCACCCGTTCATGTCCAGGCTTTAAGAACAGTCTAGTTTAAATATGTGTTAGTCCCTGTAGTCTCCTCTGCATTTAACCCACCCACACAGTGAGTGGGCAGCACCCACACACTGAGTGGGCAGCACACAGTGAGTGGGCAGCACCCACACAGAGTGGGCAGCACCCACACAGTGAGTGGGCAGCACCCACACAGAGAGTGGGCAGCACACAGTGAGTGGGCAGCGCCCGGGGAGCAATGTGTAGGGACAGTACCTCAGGGTAGCTGTTCAGTGGATTCAAACCCCCAGCCTTCTGTCCGTATCTGATTGCAATGATCAGTTCATGAGTTGACAAACCCGTCACATGTGCTGGAATCACAGACGTGATTGGTGATTAAAGCTTGTCTTTAAATGGATATCAGAGCTTCTTGTGTTTTCAACCCCAGGTTCATAAATGAGACAGACGTCAGTCCACTCAACAAATCTGCATCCTTCTCTAAATGTCCCTCACTAAGTCTGATAATGCAAACATGCAGTTCAGATTAATACTTCCAGGTTCCTGCACCAATATAAGAGTGGGGCTCGTGTAGCACAGTGGCAGAGCTCACTCACAGCTTCACCCTGTTGACAGGAGTTGGTCTGCCTCAGGTTCGCAGCTGCTGAGTTTGGAGTTGACATGCAGGGAAACCGTCCTGATCACGTGTCTCTTTATAGAAGTACTTTGATGCTTCAGTGAGCGTTCAGCTCTTTACAAACATTACACCACCATGTGTGTTCCTGTCGTTGTCATCCTGGCACTAAGCAGAACCATCTGTGGGTGTCGTCGCAGCTTTCAGTGCCAAATCATCTCGTGTCTGCAGTCGTAGTCATTGCTGTAGTTGCAGTTTTGTTTGTAGTGATGACCTGTTTTCCCTAAATAGCAGCTGTTAAACTTCCCTTCACTGCTTTCACTTGAGTCCATTTTGCTGAACGCCTGCGTGCCAGTCTTACTAATCGACTTTCACTCAACGTCTCCTCCTCCTCTCAAATCAGGAGCCTCAAACCACTGTTATCCACAACCCAGCTGATGGAAATAAGGTACACGGCTGATCGCCTGCTGATCTGAAGCTGCTGCTGCTGTTCGTCACCATTTAGACTAGAAGTTTAATGCTGCTTCTGATGATGGTGTTTGTGTGCCGTTGCTCTAATTCAACGTCATGCAAGAAAACAGCCGAGAGATCTGTGAAATACTGCACGTTATAAACTGTTGCATGTAATCATTTGGACGTAATCTTGGTCATCTGCTTACTGTGACGAATATCATGTTTAATGTTTAAATTGTGCATCGTGCTGAGGTTGTTTCTTTGGAGAAGCATCATCATGTGCTGTGACCAAGCAGCTGTGCATGTTGTTGGACACAGCAAAGAGACAGCACAAGGATACCAGAGCCATCCTCAGTGCTTCTCACAGTGTTGTGCAAACGTATGGATCTACATCAGCGCGTAAATCCATAAGACATAGACAGAAATGCATGCTTGTGTTATTGCTTTGTGGAGTGAGGATATTGTGATAGCTCATATGTTATATGTGCGTAGTCTGCTGTGTAGATGCATATGCAAGCTGGTAGGGCTGCACGATTTTGCATAAAATGAGAATCACGATTTTTTTGGCTTAGAATTGAGATCACGATTCTCTCACGCTTCTCTTTTCCAGTATAAATATTTATTGCACTTATTAACTGCACATCAACTTCGTAACAGTTGAGACTGAACATAAAAACAATAAATAAACATAAAACAACAAATGTCTCACGTTTTGTTGTTGCAGCAAAATGTTGTCCTGCTTGAAATTCCGTCTCCACCGTTGCTCGGCGCTGCGTGTACAGAGCAGGTAGTGCAACAATAGAAAAATAGTTGCGGGACGGCACTGTGTAGCGTTTGTCTAGGGTGTTGATCGTTTTCCTAAATCCCTCGTTTTGCACAGTGTCGATGGAGCCATATCTTTGGTCAGGTGATAAGTGATAGCCTCCGTAATGTCTTTGTGCCTGCGGGAGTTCGACGTGTATAGGGAAGCGCTGTATAAGGTTCCCGTTATTGATGTTTGGGTGGTTGACCGGGACGGATTTTCTCCTGTCACTTTCTCGTCATCCCTGACGTGCTCGCCGTGGTTTTTTCCCTGCTAATTTTAGCATCACACGGCACAGCTTCTGTATCACGTGGTATAAGGCTCCGCCCTTGTCATTTGTTGAGCAGGAAGAGTGAGCGCTTGTTTTCATGCAGAGTATGTCCCGGGTCAAAATGCGGTACAATCGTCGTCTTTTTAAAAAAAAAATTTTTTAATCGTTGTCATTTGGAAATGAGATCGCACATAAGTATGAATCGAGATCGCGATTTTCTAACGATTAATCGTGCAGCCCTACAAGCAGTTGTTTCATGTGAACAAGGATACAACATATTAAAGGGTTGAGGATGCTGCTAAAGATAAAACTGCCTTAATGAGACAAAGTATTTCAAACATGTCCACTTTAATCACATTTTGATGCCAAGTCCACTGTTAAGCTTCAAATGATAACACAAAACAACATTTTGGTCCCTGAAAGAAGAAATTATTGAATATATGAAGCTTTGAAAGTAAGAGATTTCACCTTTCGTAAGACTTCAAAAAGGCAAAAAGCGGGAAAACCAACGTTGGTAATGAGTAACAAGTCCTGACAAGGTCATTTTTGTCTCATCTGATTTTAAACTATCGTTTTGAGCTACACAACACTGAGACATGATTTCTGAGAAAGCCAAACAAATGTCTTCAGCATTGGCTTTGGCCATCTGCTCAATCTGCTGATTTAACTCCAAGTTGTAACAGGTGTTCAAGTAGGTGATGGTGAAATGCCTGAACATGGAGCAAACTGATGTCAGTGAAACTGTTATACTCAGGCTTCCTCTGGTTTGTCCTTCTGCAGGAGTCCAGCGAGAGCGCCAACACGACCATCGAGGATGAGGACGTGAGAGGTAGGGCGGTCCAGATGTAAACTACACCTTGTTCACAGGATGACACTGCTTTGTTGTCTGTTTTTACACTAGTTAGTCAGTGAGTTCAATATATGTCTGAGTACTGACAAACACACAATGTGCCATCATCTGAAGAAACACAGGAACAGATGAAAAGCAAAATCTTTATTTATCAGGAAGCATGTATAATGTAAACAGAATTGGTCCTAGCACTGAACCCTGTGGAACTCCATAACTAACCTCAGTGTGTGAAGAGGACTCTCCATTTACATGCACAAACTGGAGTCTATTAGATAGATATGATACAAACCACTGCAGTGCAGTACCTGTAATACCTACAGCATGTTCTAATCGCTCTAATAGGATATTATGGTCGACAGTATCGAACGCTGCACTGAGGTCTAGCAGGACAAGCACAGAGATGAGTCCACTGTCAGAGGCCATAAGAAGATCATTTGTAACCTTCACTAAAGCTGTTTCTGTGCTGTGATGAGCTCTGAAACCTGACTGAAACTCTTCAAATAAACCTCTGCAGATGATCTGTTAGCTGTTTGACAACTACTCTTTCAAGGATGCTTGATATGAAGGATTGATGACAGCTGGCTCACAGATGGCTTTTTCAGTAGCTGTGGTTCAGTGAATTTAATGTCAAATCCAGTGCCGTTAATTTCTCTCCCAGTCTCTTGCATCTCGTGTTTAAAGGAGCTGATGTGTGTCTGTTGTGTGTTCGCTACAATTGTGACCTTTTGATAGAGCAGATTCTCAATCATTCACATAATTCAGATGTATTAATGTGCATGCCAGCCTATACACGAGACCTTTGCTTTACAATGGCCTCCATTGTTGCTCGTCCCTGTTTCTCTGTTGCATAACTGACATTAGTGCGTGATGCTAACCTTTTGCGCCCAGAAGAAGTTGTAACGATTGACGTCCTGTAGCCTCCACGGACCGTGATCTTCACAGATGACGTTATGATTTGTAGAGAAGAGAAAAGGGAGCCTGGAGAAGTGAAGTTATGCTCTGCAGATGAGAGGAAGTCATTAAAAACACGCGTGTAAATGAAATCAGATGAAGATGCACTTAAATGCCAACACACGGTGAACAAGAAGAACAGGCGGGCTGGAGTGGGCAAAGCTGAGTGTCAGGGATGACTGGTGATCTCAAGAGTGAAAGGGAAGGTGGTGCAGGAGCTGGAGGTGGCAGAGATCACTGGGGGTGACCAGGACGAAGAAGGTCAGAAATGAGCCAATCAGAGCGATGGCTGAGAGTGAGGGTATGCAGATAGAGAGCTGAGGGGGACAAAAGAGGGTGAATATGCAGTTGGCAGGCAAAAGGAGAAGAGGAGGAGCACAGATGAGATTCAGGGATGTGGTACAGCGTGGGCACCGGGGTCACCTTACATCACTGCATCGTTCCTCCATGAACATCGCTGTGCATGCTGTCATTTCCTGCACGCCTTTCATGTTCAGTGTTCTTCATCTTCTGTTTTCTCCATCTCACTCTCCTCTTCATTCCTCCTTCATCTCATTCTCCTCTTCGTTCCTCCTCCATCTCCATCTCATTCTCCTCTTTATTCCTCCTCCATCTCATCTCACTCTCCTCTTCATTCCTCCTTCATCTCCATCTCACTCTCCTCTTCATTCCTCCTTCATCTCCATCTCACTCTCCTCTTTATTCCTCCTTCATCTCACTCTCCTCTTCATTCCTCCTTCATCTCACTCTCCTCTTCATTCCTCCTTCATCTCCATCTCATTCTCCTCTTTGTTCCTCCTCCATCTCCATCTCACTCTCCTCTTCATTCCTCCTTCATCTCACTCTCCTCTTCATTCCTCCTTCATCTCCATCTCATTCTCCTCTTCATTCCTCCTCCATCTCCATCTCATTCTCCTCTTCGTTCCATCTCCATCTCCATCTCACTCTCCTCTTCATTCCTCCTTCATCTCCATCTCATTCTCCTCTTCGTTCCATCTCCATCTCATTCTCCTCTTCATTCCTCCTCCATCTCCATCTCACTCTCCTCTTCATTCCTCCTTCATCTCCATCTCATTCTCCTCTTCGTTCCTCCTCCATCTCCATCTCACTCTCCTCTTCATTCCATCTCCATCTCATTCTCCTCTTCATTCCATCTCCATCTCATTCTCCTCTTCGTTCCTCCTCCATCTCATTCTCCTCTTCGTTCCTCCTCCATCTCATTCTCCTCTTCGTTCCTACTTCATCTCAATCTCATTCTCCTCTTCGTTCCTCCTCCATCTCCACCCATCCTCTGATTTCTCCATCTCAGCACCGTCCCCCTGCCCCAGTCTGCAGATCTACCACCTTAAGCACTTGGACCCCTTCACTTCTCACCTGCCTTCATCCAGCTGCCTCTTACCCACCCCTTGCCTTTCGTGCTCTTTGTCTTCACCGTCTTCTGCTTCGTCCTCCTCTTCTTCCGTCTCCTCCTGCTGGTTCTCTCCCAGTGTTTGGCCCAGTGGTGAGGAGTGCTGCCAGTATATCCTGCGGGCACTGGCGGCCGCCTTCGTGCTCCTCTTCTTCACGTCGTCCTTTATGATCCTTTTCACTGACCATCACACCATGTGTCACTGCGGCCCCCAAACATGCTCACAAGACCCCGGCCCCCAGAGTGGCGTGCCCCTCAGTGACTCCATCGACTCCCAGTGTAAGTCGCCCTCCTTAATGCCTGAAGCTGTCACCTAATTGTTGATAATATCTGAAAATGTCTCTGAGCAGGGATGAAGAACATAATGACTGATGTGATCCAGATCAGGACCTTTGTCTCACGCTCTGTTAGAAAGCTTCCTCACAGCAGTGTGTGCCGTTAGCTCTGCTTCTTTAGACGCCAACTTAGAATCAGCTCCAACAGGTGAAGAGCGAGCGATGGATGTTTGCTGACCAGACTGTTTATGCATTCAACCAAACCAGTTTCCCTGCTGCTGTGGGACAGCGCCACTCACTGGTCACTGTCACCACTACACTTTGTCCTTTTTGCTTTGGCAGCTTTTGGGTTGGAGGTTTTGACTCATCCTGCTCATAAAATGAGTTGTTTCGTTTTCTTTAGAAAGCCTCTGATTAGAGTTTAGATCCTTATTGTCCCCTGTGAACATAATGACTGCTGATTGTCTTTGTGCTTTATTACAGACTGTTTTTGTCCTGACTAAATCTGTCATAGGGAAAATGTGACTGATTACCTGTAAACCAACTTTGGATTTATTATTTTGCAAGATTCCAGAAAGAAAAAGCAGAAAAGGAGCGTTTAGGTGATCGTGTTCATAAATGATGTTAAAGACGCTGAGGGTGTGTAGTTCTGTGTAGTTCCTGTGTAGGGCCGCATTAAACATTTGCTTCATTTGTTCATAAAGTTAATAATGATGGTGAGAAACCACAGCAGCCCCTGAGCTGTTGTTTCTTTTTGTGTTGTTGTTAATAATAAGTATTAAATTAGACTTTATCAGTCACAAGCCTTTAAAGTAAACGGGAGTGACTCAGCATTCTGACTCCTGCTTCACCTCTAGCCGTGTCCAAGTACTTGCCAAATGTTGCCTTTAATTTTCCTGTTATTCAATGAAACCATTTCCTTCATACTATTCTGACTGAGTCATCTCACCCGTCCTACCCGAGTCTCGCCAACACTCGGCGTGTTCTCCGTGACCACATCCTGAATCTCCTCCGTGGTGTGCCTCTGTTCCTCCTGCCTCCATATTCACCATCTGATGTTCACATTTCTAATCGTGTCCATGCCACAGTCACAGCATCTCCAGTTCTGCTCCAGCTTCGTCTCCTTTCTTTGGTGATGTGATCTCCAAAGCGTACATGATAGCAGGTCTCACTTGCATCTTGTAAATCTCGCCTTTTCCTGCTCTCCTTCTGTCATAAGTAGCCCCTGATATCACTGCCTCGCCCTGCCTGCACTCTACCTGCTCCTCCACCTGCTCCACCCCACCCTTTGCAGCTTCAGCCTCATGGCACCTTAAACCCATCTGCCACCCCTGACTTCCTCATGCTCATGTGCTTTCTATAGATGTGCAGAGACACATTGCAGCTCCTTTGATCATCACAATCAGTGTTTTCAAATCAAACCGCACATCTGTAGCGCACAAGAAGCCATACTGCTGCTCGCTGATCGTCACCTCTCCTCCATGGTTATCTCCCGTACTGACGAACTTACGAGTGATCAGAAACATTGGAAATAATCAACACCAAATTGAACCCAACCCTGTGTGCTTCTTCTTTGCATGATGGTGAAATATAGTTTCATTGCACGTTGCATGGATGGTTTTAATATCCATGCCATTTTATTAGGGAAGTGTTAGGTACCTTAATACCTAATAGGGTACTTAATAATAGGTACCATAACCTTAATAAGGTAGCAACAAGTGAAGCAACACTGTTGCTCCACATGTGGGAATATCTCATGGTACTTGCACTAGCAACAGAGGGTACAGAAAGAGGTTCCTCAAACACAGTGAGCACCCAGACATGAGGTGTTTCTGTGGAAGACTGTGGGAACGACACAGGAGTGACCAAACAGCCGGTCCATAGCACAAAGTAAGGAAACCATCTCTTCACGGCACGACGGACGGGCGGTTTGAGGGAGGAGCGACACATGTCGAACTGGAACATCACCAGAGGTGCTTACAGCACCAACTGTCAGCCATCTATCACACAGTCCTGAAATCCCTGCTTTGATGGATGAATGGAGCAAACATGAAAACGTCCCGACACATAAACCTGCGCTGACACGATCGCCTCAGAGATGAAGTATCTGGACTCCCATCAGCATGTAGAACTTGGTGCTTCTGGACTGGAGGTGCAAATAGTTCACACAACAGTAGCGTGTTATTAGTCGTGGTCTGGTGTTTGATGGCTATTCAGCCACTCAGTGACCTACACGCTGAGCTCCAAGTAAAGTTCTGGTTGTCGTTTAGGAGCAACGTCGTTGGCAGATCTTAGTCTGACCAGAATGAACCTTGTTATAAAACTCTCATTAGTAAGAAGAAAACCGTCTGTGAACTGGTCACCCTGGAGTTCAACTGCCAGCCTTTCACAGAAGCAGCCAATGACCCGGTGCAGTTGTTGAAGATGCTGTCTTTGGGTTATGTTGTGCAGTAAGATTCTTGTTACGTCTGCACTGTTTGACTTGATCATGTTGTGTGACTCTCTTTCACTAGTGCTTGCATGCAAAGCCACATCAGTACTTATTGTGTCCATTCATTGTTTCCTAGCTAACCTTCTTAGCACGAAAGGTAATGTTATCGAACCAAGCTGACCACACTGACCTCCCAGCTTTTCCTCCATCTCCATGTAACATTGTGCTATTTAAGGTGGAGCCCACGCTCATGCTGTGACGATGAACTCATGCTGTCTTTGTGTTCCTGTTTTTAACCTTTAACTGTGTTTTCATTATGTCAAAGCTGTCCAGATATCCCAAACTAAAGCGATGTGTCTCTGTCCCTCAGCTCGAAAGCAGGAGATCATCAAGGCCACTGAGCAGCTGATTGAGGCCATTAACAATGGAGACTTTGAAGCCTACACGTTAGTCATTAAAGTACTTGTCAGTAAACTCTCACACGTTCATATGTTTCCATAAAGCTAATGAATGTGTTGCCTGTGTTCTTTCAGGAAGATATGTGATCCTGGTCTCACATCCTTTGAACCTGAAGCCTTGGGTAACCTGGTGGAGGGCACAGACTTCCACCGCTTCTACTTTGAGAACGGTACAGTGTTCCTGCGGGACATGGTCTGATGAAGCATCGTAGCTGTCCCAGTTTAGGCTCACATTTCCTGTAAGAAGTGCATCGCGTGCAGAAGCCACTGTGGAGAGTGACTGCATCCCTTTGTGTTGCACTGCCTCATTCACCACCTGTTGCAGCTCTGACTCATCTATTGTCTTTATTACGTTGGTGTTACATTGGTGTTACGTTGGTATCACGTTGGTGTTATGTTGGTATCACTTTGGTGTCACGTTGGTGTTACGTTGGTATCACGTTGGTGTTACGTTGGTGTCACGTTGGTGTCACGTTGGTGTTACGTTGGTATCACGTTGGTGTTACGTTGGTATCACGTTGGCATCACGTTGGTGTCACGTTGGTATCACGTTGGTGTTACGTTGGTATCACGTTGGTATTACGTTGGTATCACGTTGGTATCACGTTGGTGTTACGTTGGTGTCACGTTGGTATCACGTTGGTGTTACGTTGGTGTCACTTTGGTGTTACGTTGGTATCACGCTGGTATCACGTTGGTGTTACGTTGGTATTACGTTGGTATCACGTTGGTATCACGTTGGTGTTACGTTGGTGTCACGTTGGTATCACGTTGGTGTTACGTTGGTGTCACGTTGGTGTTACGTTGGTATTACGCTGGTGTCACGTTGGTGTTACGTTGGTATCACGTTGGTATCACGTTGGTGTCACGTTGGTATCACTTTGGTGTTACGTTGGTATCACTTTGGTGTTACGTTGGTGTTACGTTGGTGTTACGTTGGTGTTACGTTGGTGTTACGTTGGTGTCACGTTGGTGTCACGTTGGTGTTACGTTGGTGTCACGTTGGTGTCACGTTGGTGTCACGTTGGTATCACGTTGGTGTTACGTTGGTGTCACTTTGGTGTTACGTTGGTGTCACGTTGGTGTTACGTTGGTGTCACGTTGGTGTCACGTTGGTGTCACGTTGGTATCACGTTGGTATCACGTTGGTGTTACGTTGGTGTCACGTTGGTATCACGTTGGTGTCACGTTGGTATCACGTTGGTATCACGTTGGTGTTACGTTGGTATCACGTTGGTGTTACGTTGGTGTCACGTTGGTATCACGTTGGTGTTACGTTGGTGTTACGTTGGTGTTACGTTGGTATCACGTTGGTGTTACGTTGGTATCACGTTGGTATCACGTTGGTGTTACGTTGGTGTTACGTTGGTGTCACGTTGGTGTTACGTTGGTGTCACGTTGGTGTCACTTTGGTGTTACGTTGGTGTCACGTTGGTGTTACGTTGGTATCACGTTGGTGTTACGTTGGTATCACGTTGGTGTCACGTTGGTGTTACGTTGGTGTCACGTTGGTGTCACGTTGGTGTCACGTTGGTGTCACGTTGGTATCACGTTGGTGTCACGTTGGTATCACGTTGGTGTTACGTTGGTATCACGTTGGCGTCACGTTGGTGTTACGTTGGTATCACGCTGGTGTCACGTTGGTGTTACGTTGGTATCACGTTGGTGTTACGTTGGTGTTACGTTGGTATCACGTTGGTGTTACGTTGGTATCACGTTGGTATCACGTTGGTGTTACGTTGGTGTTACGTTGGTGTCACGTTGGTGTTACGTTGGTATTACGTTGGTATTACATTGTCTCGTGAAACAACGTGGAGCGTTGTGGACTTCTCTGCTGTAGCGATGAATCTCCTGAGTCCAAGCCATGAAAATGGTAAAGGGCACACTGGCTTGTGCAGCATGTTTGGACATGAAATGCTGGTTGGGCAGCAAAACCAACATTTACCACAACAGAAAGCAGTTGTTAATCAAGAGCAACAAATTCAACCAGTTCACCTGGTTGCTCTCTGGAGCGGGTTTCCTCGTGCGTCCCAGTGTTTTCCAGCACTGTTGGTTGATGCAGGTCATTTTCTTAGTATCTGAGGCCTGGATATATTCAGTGTATTTCCATGTTTCCGCAAAAGTTCAGCCGTGTTTGTGGTGTTACTTTCCAACACGCTAACACCCTGTCTAAAAAACCAAACTTGTCTTGCATAAATTACTCTGTACAGTCTTGGGTTTGTCTTCGTTTAAGTCTGAGAAGCAGCTGCATGCTGCTGCCACACCAGCAGGTCGACACCAGAGCTCAGTCAGCTGATGCATCAGCGTTTTATACGTTTTGTTAAGACTTTAAGCCAGATTTGTCGCTCACTTCAGTCATTTAGATGTGACTGATGCTGGATATTGGCTTGGTGCATAGCTAATACCTTCTATGAAATGTAAATGTAATTTAAGAAACTAACTGTTAACAGAGTTAATAGTTAGTTTCTTAAAAAAAATAGAGCCACTGAAGCCTCTTTCAGTTGTTATATGCCGAGCAATTTCACATATTTGTAATTATTAATAATGCATCGGATGCTTTAAAGCTAATATGTGGTCCCTGTCGAGTGTTTGGTTGTGTCACAGTGTTGTTGTCCTCTGCAGCTCTGTCTAAGGGGAAGCAGCCCATCCACACCATCCTGCTCAACCCTCACGTCCACCTCATTGGCGATGACGCCGCCTGCATTGCCTACATTCGCCTCACCCAGTACATCGATAGCAGCGGCATGCCTCGCACCATGCAGTCAGAGGAGACTCGCATCTGGCACCGCCGTGACAGCAAGTGGCAGAATATCCACTTCCACCGCTCCGGCTCTCCCACCGTTCCCACCAAGTAAGATCGCCACCAGATTGCTTATAATGTTTAGACACGTAGGAACAGTTTTAATGAGTGTGTAGCATCAAGTCAGTTAAACCCCAGGGATATTGATCTGATCAGTGTAGTGGGAGAGAGTGGGCTGATGGATCAGGTACAGCTCCTTAACCATAGGTAGGCCAGAGAGCCAGCAGTGAGACAACCCCCCAACAGGAAAGGTTTTAATGGTGACGGCCATTGACGTGTTTCCCTTGTCATCTTTTCTCACTGTTTATTCCCCAGTTTTGCATTTGGCTCGGGTCAGTGTCGCTGCTGTTAGCATGAAACAATATCTAGACCAGGGTCGGCACCTCCGGGCCTCGAGGGCCTGCAGGTTTGAGATGTGTCCTTGATCCAACACAGCTGATTTAAGTTCTCCAGAGGCCTGGTGATGAACTAATCATCTGATCCAGGTGTGTTGACCCAGGGAATTACAGAGGTTGCACAAATAGTCCAGAACATCAACATATGCTGGGAGACACAGAAACCCTCTCAGGTGTTTTAAGCAACCGGCCGACGAGTAAACATGCTCTTCTAACACTCTCGAGACACAAAGCGTTCCAAGTTTTGGTGTCGTAACCAGTAATGTTGTGCTTTTGTGTAGAGATCATTCTGCATGTGCTGGTGTTGGTTGATCGGACGAACATGTTTGTTTAAATCACCACCCTGCTCGATTTCCAGAATAAAACAGCAGGCTGCTCCTCCGTCACATGGACATCTGACCACAGTCTGGACAAAGTATTCGAGAACAGCGTTAAACATTCAAACGAGACAAAGTTTCCCTTTAACAGCTTGACACGTATTCCACGTCTAACGAGCCGTAATGCCCAGTAACTAGATCAGAGCAGTGGGTGAAGCTGACTGTGTGGGTTTGTGTCTGACTGTGCTCCACTTTCAGCTGAGATGACCTCCACCACCTTCCAGCCTACAGCAGTCTGACTTCTGCCGTCTTTCCATCGGATGCCCAAGCCACGCCTCCCCCTCGTTTGCTAGCGCTCTGCCCTCTCAGTGTGTTGTTTACATTGTCGCTGCTGAACTGAAGTTTATTCTAAATGTAAAGGAGTTCACACTTTGACAACATCACTTTGTAGAGAGAGTGCAGGGTGTTCAACATATCTCTGTTTGCAGCATTTTTATTACTGGTTTCTTGATATATTCTTTTTTAAATAGAAGTGGACTCTAATGGTGCCACTGGTTCCACTTGATTTTAATGGGCTAGTCTGTGAAGCTCCCAGTCAGGATTACACATGTTGTGCTATTGTGATATTTTTACCTTTTGGCACAATGACCGATATCAAACTTTTTAATCACGTTTCTGTTTCCAGACACAAGCCTGCTTTGTTTGGCTGATCCATAGGTTTTGGTAATCATGTAATTTGCTCTTTGCTTGATCCATATGAGTTGACTTATCTTACTGATGTATGTTTACTAGGAACTGTAACTACATGTTTAAAAGGGAAACCGTTTGTTTTAGTGAGTTCGGTCATCACGGAGCATCGTGGGAGGAAGTGTAGACATAGATTCTTAAAGCCATTCTGACTCCTGCCAGTCACATTTTCATACAATAATAAGTTAATTATGTGAATCTGTTTGTTTACATTTTACAGTGTGATATTGATGCCTGTCCTTCTCCTCACTTACCTTTAAGAACATCCTCCGTATTTCATCCTCTGCTTAAAGTCGAACCCTGTTTAACCGTGTAAATCAGTTTGCTAAGTTTCATCACTGACCGGGTTACTCATGCTCAACACTCATTATGTTACGCTATAGTTATTTTAGTGCCACCATCTGACTGAAAGGGAAACGGTTGTTGTGGAGATCACAGGGAACAAACTTTAATTCCAGATTGAATTGAGTGCAGAGGAAGCCGTTAAAGACAGTCACAGGTGTGTTTTTGTGTATTAAATAATCACTGAAATATTTAGAGAACTGCTTCGTATTGATTTCTTTGATCACATTTGTCCATTTCAAAGGACACTTTGGGTTTATCTTTGTGATTGAACTGTATGATGGGCTGCTGGTATTTAATGTTGCCATGATGGGCCAAGCCTGATGTTTAAGAAATCTCAAATAAAATGTGATTTATGCCAATGAGCGATTTGTTTTTCATTCCTTATGTGAACTCTGCATCAGTGATATTTCTGAAGTTTTGCTGCTGATGTTTAGCTTTGATATTTCTTTTTGTGCTTTGATGCTGATTGTGAAAAATCCTGCTGAACCTGCCCACCCCCGCCCCTTCATCCTCACTCGGTTTCAGCAGATGCCGCCCCTCCCTGACTTATTCCTGTTAAAAAGGGTTTTTCCTTCCTCCTCCTGTCACCAAGCTCTTGCTCGTTGGGGTTTTCTCTGTTATTGTGGGGTCTTTACAGTATAAAGCAGTAATTTTGTTGTGATTTGGAGCTGTAGAAATAAAACTGAACTAAAACAAAATGTTGAAATAATTTGATGTAAAAATGACCAAGCGCTCCGATTACCACTGTTACCTTCACATCTTTTAGAGTTTTTCACTCAACTCTTGGTACCCCTACAGCTTCTCGTGTTCCTTCTTCCTGATATTGCTGTCATTTGAACCGCTACATCGATCACTATGGCCGTCTTCTTCTGTTTGTCTACCACCACTATGTCCGGTTGGTTAGCCACCACCATTTTGTCCGTCTGTATCTGGAAGTCCCACAGGATCTTAGCTCGGTCATTCTCCACCACCCTTGGGGGCATCTCCCATTTTGACCTCGGGACTTCCAGGTTATACTCGGCACAGATGTTCCTGTACACTATGCCGGCCACTTGGTTAAGGCGTTCCATGTATGCCTTGCCTGCTAGCATCTTGCACCCTGCTGTTATGTGCTGGATTGTCTCTGGGGCATCTTTACACAGCCTGCACCTGGGGTCTTGCCTGGTGTGATAGACCCCAGCCTCTATGGATCTTGTACTCAGAGCTTGTTCTTGTGCTGCCATGATTAGTGCCTCTGTGCTGTCTTTCAGTCCAGCTTTGTCCAGCCACTGGTAGGATTTCTGGATATCAGCCACCTCCTCTATCTGCCGGTGGTACATACCGTGCAGGGGCCTGTCCTTCCATGATGGTTCCTCGTCTCCCTCCTCTTTCTTGGGTTTCTGCTGCCTGAGGTATTCACTGAGCACTCGGTCAGTTGGGGCCATCTTCCCAATGTATTCTTGGATGTTCGTTGTCTCATCCTGGACTGTGGTGCTGACACTCACCAGTCCTTCCTTCTGCTTAGCGTACAGCCTCAGGGTGCTGGACTTGGGGTGAATGCATGCATCAAGACCATGCATGGTAAGTGGCTTCTATCTCCTCCTTTGGCCAGGTTATTACCCCAGCAGGGTACCTGATCACGGGCAGGGCGTACGTGTTGATGGCCCGGATCTTGTTCTTACCGTTCAGCTGACTCCTCAGGACTTGCCTGACCCTCTGCAGGTACTTGGTGGTTGCAGCTTTCCTAGCGGCCTCTTCATGGTTTCCACATATAAGTAAATAAAACATCTATATATAAACATAAACATAGTGACTACAACCCAAGACTAAAATCTATCCTGTGTATTTGTGTGCGAGTTAGCCAGATTACACAACCAAAGCTTGTGAAGAAGAGTTTACAAAGAGTTCTCAGGCTGTGTCAAAGGAAACACCTACTAACATCACGCACTAACACATACTACCACACAATCCCAATTCAAGAGAGTGGAGACGTGTAAATAAAAGCAGAACTTAATAAGAGAAAATATATCAGGTGTGCAACAGCAGCAACATGTCTCAAACAACGTTGGTCAGCAAGCAGCGTCTTAGAGGTTCACCGATGTGCAAAAGCACTGCTTAGAGTATCTATAATTTCACATTATTACACAGAATTATGTTTATGTCCCTACTTATGTTTGTTGCTCGTTGTGTTTGCACCTACAAAACCTCGTAGACATCGAATTGACCACAAACTCCTCGAGTTCAATGTTATTACATAGCACCGAATCACAACAGTCTAAAATGCTTTATATTGTCAGGTAATACAATACCTCATAAACCAAGCTGTTAATGTAAAACCTCTGTGCTAGCTGAGGTCCAACAGCTAAAGCAGGAAGGGGAACTCCAGGCCTCCAGTGTCCTGCAGGTTTTTAGACGTGTCAGCTGATTCAGACTGCTGAAGGACCTCCTCTACATGTCTGGAGGTTCTCCAGAGGTAATGAACTGGTGTGTTGCAGGACTGCAGGACACCGGCCCTCGAGGCCCTCCCCACCCCCGAGCTTAAGCCTGGCCAAAATCCCAAACACGTGAGCAGTAATCGAGCTTTTCACATATTTATGACCTCATGTTGTAAAGAACAGAGGACCAAAATACCTCCACAAACTCTGAGACTGATAAATGTGCATTCAAAGCAGCATATCTGACCCTCCTCTGTGTATCTCTGTAACATTCGTAGTATAAAGATTCAGGTTTTATCAGATACACTAAATTAGCATAAGATAATACGAGTAAGTCTTCCCAAAGCTACAATCATAAACCGTGTGTACAGTTGGCACTTTCTTCAGCATTAACCGATTTACAGAAAACTCACCTGCTGCAGGCTCAGTTCAGCTTTGACCAGTGTTCTCCCAGAACTCCCAGTGGACAGAAATATCCTTCGTCTTTGCCACAAACTCTTTGAAGTTATATGTGGTGAAAAAATGACAACGGGCATCATTCGAGACATGTACAGTTTTATTGTTGTGCCACAAACACACTGCAGCTCTTTTACCTCATTAGCATTTTTATTTTGATCATCTGATAAAGTCATACATGCCCGCATAAATATTTGCACTGTTAATATGTATATATTGTCATCACCATGGAATTAAGATGCTCCGTTATGAGATTGGTTTTATCTTTTTGACCTTTATTCTTCCAGTGGATCAAAGTAAATGGCAACATTGTTACATGGAAAATATGTAGATGAACAGCAAACACACGTAATCATGTCTGAATGCGTCGCAGCCGCCTTATAGCAACACAACTGTTTGTCTGCGATGGCAAAGGAACAAACAAAGGTTTACCTGTAGCTTCAAAATACATCCAAACTCTCTCACACACACACACACAGCAATAAATAAAGAAACACAGGTGTCACAAATGAAGCGGGTAAAAGCCTCGGCCTGGGTTTAAAGTGGCTTTAACAGTGATGACAGGAAACAAGCAAATCCACGACTACATTATTTATGTGTTGAAAAACAAAACTAAAGGACAAGTCTGCTGTTACGTGTCTACAAATCTGACGAGAAGCCCAAAACCAACAGAGTGTTACTGGGACCATAACCAGACTCTAAAAGGACCCACTGGTTTCTGTTGGAGCGATCAGTTGATCTAATTAGAGCCTGTGGGCTGTTCATTTTCTCTTTAATCGCTACCAGAGGTCTCTTCCTGTTGATAGTTCTTCCTTCCGACTGTTACCAACTCATATGGTTTTTGCTCCAATGTCTATTTTCTGTCCATAATTTGCTAAACGAGCTTGAAGAACACTGAGACCATGAAACCTGTGATGCCATTTTTCCTAATAAATCAAAGGCAAACTGTCCATTTTCTCACAGACTCAACACTTCATTTTATATTAAAGTCAGTGTTGCAGGCTGGAGGAAATGTTGCTGCATGCATGGCCAATGACAGCTGTGTGCAGCAGAGGAGCAAAAGCAGAGCTGGCGTTGGGTTTCCTGTAGATTTGTTGACAGTAACAGTCAAAGCTGCGCTTTAAAAGGTGTGGAAACGCTACGAGTAGCTGCAGGTAAGGAAAAGCACCAACATGAAGCACGAGGACATGAGTGCTGCACTGAAACATTCATCATCACTACTTTCTTTCTCCGTAGACACGGCACACACAGGTGACAGAAACAATGCTCCACACGTGCAGGAAGGACAGACACGTGGATAAAGTAAGGGCAGATGACAAAAGGTGTGAGCACACAGCCTTTGTGAACAGATGGGCGGGTTGATGTCGGCTGAGTTTCTGATGATACGCATTCACACTTTATCTGGCATTAATCTCATGTGTACTGTGGCCGTTCTGCAGCTGGTGCATGTACAGCAGGTTCAGGTGGGCTAACGTGGTAAATGCTTTGAATTATTTCAGCTTCTTTCCAGTCCCAGCTTGACTTTTTGTCATCAACTCCCCTATGTACAAATGTTTACACGAGTTCTTCAAGAAGAGGCCGGTGCGTGAGGCGAAACATCCGAGACGCGCCTTTTCTTTCTAATCCGCCTTTGGTGCATCGTACCTACATCACATCAAAGCAGCCGCAGGAAGCGAAACACGAACAAAAATCATCAGGACGGTGAGGGTGGCTATCTTTGGTCACAATCAGAGCGAACATCTATCGTTAAAGCACAAAAATACGGTTCCAATATCTGACAAACCAAAGAAGAAGAAGAAAAACTCCAGTGATGAGCAGGGACAGAGGGCGGTTCGATCTGAGGAAGTGTACGTCACCAAAAGCTTCAGTGGAAAATGTAGATCAGTGGAAGCAGCTGCTCAGCTAAGGTTTTCATCCTCCTCCTCATCCTCGGTGTCCTCACAGTAGCGCTGGAGCAGTCGGTGCAGGTGCTGCTGCAGCGCATCAGGCTGCAGGGCATCTGCGGTGTTGTCCAGGCGCTCTAGGTGCACATGCTTCCCCTGAGCATCCCTCACCACGGTCCTCTTCTGGCTGCGTGAATTACGCATCTGGCTTCTGCAGGAACAGGAACAGTAGTAGTTCATCCAGGATCACAGTAAGTGGCTGCAGACTGCCAGGCTCCACGTTTGTTTCATAAAGAACAATAAATGCATCACCTTCATTTCCATGTTAATGAATCATATCGCACCACATGATGCATCATGCTTTAACTGTTGTTTAAATATTTGCATCAGGATTTGAAATGTTTTTCTGATATTTCAGATTTCTAGAACCATCTAAACAAACTCAGAATCATTGTGTTGTTTCCTAAATCCCTAATAATTGTAACTGTATTGCATCTATACTCGTGTGGTTACATGGTGTTGTCACATCTAAAAGGATGCTGGTTTGAGTCCAGCTGGAGGCTTTGTTGTTGGATCAAATCAAATGTGGCGACGCCCTTTTAAAAGAATGATGTCACACATCATGTGGACTGAAATGAAAAACAAGTTCACAGCCTGTTCTCTCTCTAGCCCGCTGGAACAAAACGTGGCTGAAACAAGCATCAGAAACCAGCAGAGCATAAGCAAACATTAGCATATGCTGCTGTCACTTTGCTTTATTACTCACTGGTTGTACCAGTAATGGCACCATTGTTTCATACCAGGAATGCCAGTAATGTGAAATATGTGTGTCTGCATCTATTATTGCTACACTGCACATCTCAGGATCTGATGAAAACAACAGAAGTTGTATAAATAATGTGCGCACGTGTCTCTTTTCTCCCTCACAGACAGTAAAGGTTAGGACAGTCACAGTGTGGTCACACAGCACACTCATGCAGTCCAACCTTTTAACCACAGAACCGTCATCCTGTACAATCTCTTTCTCTACTATATGCGGCATTAGCACTTTTCCAAATCCTCCAGCGTAACTCATTGCCTGGAGGGGAAGAATGAGGAAAGACAGATCAAATGCTAGAAAGCTCTCAGGTTTTCTCAGCGCAGTGATAAAATGCCTGCATTACACCACGAGTGTCCTTTCATCCTCGAGGCGTCTAAAAACAAATATTATTCCCGAGCTGAAATCTTACTCACCTTCTCAAAGTCCTCTCTGGCTGAAGGCAGGTCTGCAGCCAGCGACGGGTCTCCTGTGTGCTTCTCCATCCTCTCGCCTCTCACCACAGTTGTCTTGACAACCTTGCTGACCTTTCTGCCCTGCACTGGCTCCACTTCAAACTCTGACGCTGTGGCAGCGCTCAGAGCCGGGGACTCTGAAAAGGTCAGCTGGGAAGGAAATACGATGTCACGGTTACTTTGAATAACAGTGGACTGAAGTACAGCAAAGACGTGCCTGCAGTTAACTGGATTTACAGTTAACTGGATTTACAGTTAACTGGCTCACCCAAACACATCGGAGAGAAAGCGAGTCCATCAGAGACGTTAACTTGGGGTGAATTTCTTCCCCGAGGACATCAGGCATGCAGACTGATCTACCTGAGCTGCAGCCAGACCCTCCACTGGAGCCAGCATCCAGTTGGATTCAGGCTTAAAACCGTCACAGCTGCATCAGGAGGCCCTGAATGATCCCTTGGTTGAGTTTGTTAGACTAAGCAGTTTGTCTTCGCTCAGTCTCACAGTGTGTATATGCAGCACTTCTGTATTTAATATTAGCAGCACTCTCTCCCTGCACTTCACCTCTCTGCTAACTCTCCTCATTACCGGATATAAAACACAAAGCAACAGTAGGATTAGCAGACGTCAGAGGCTCTCACCTCCTTCTGATCGCCTCCACTATGAAGCACAGTTCTCTTCACCACCTTTGAAACAGCATCTCCCTCCTCTATCTGGACCGACTCCTGGTGAGAGCCTTCGATGGTCACTTCCTGTGTCTCCATGCCGTCTGGAGACACATATTTACGAATGACCTTCCGCGTGACCTGTTGGAGAGGAAAGTCACTGTAAAGGTTTTCTGTATGAAGGACCAGGTTTTAAGTGTAATACAGATTTCAGTGTTGAATCTTCCTCACTTTCTTGACCACCATGTTGCCATCTTCATCGATGTACTTCTCTTCTGTCAGGGTCTGCAGGGGGATGTCTGGCAGGTTATCGGCCTGCAAAAGACACAAAACGCTTGCTGTGGGTTCACACCTTCACTCACATTACGCACAATCTACAGACGTCAAAGAACATTTTGCAATCAATCCAACGGTAATTAATAATAGTCAGCTCCAACAGATCTCTGTATTTCAAGTCCGTCTGAAAACAGTGTTGACGATTGCTGAATACCAGCGTCATTATGGGTCCATTCAGGTTATACACAGTGCAGCTTTCCTGTTTCAATGCACAAGTATCACTTCCAGTAACAAAAGAAAAAAACCCTAATGGTGACACGACAACATGTGTAGAACAAAGTGTAGAAATACAAATTTATCTTAAAAAACAAGCAAAAAAACCAAAAATGTGAATCTAAAGTCAATGAAATTGTAAAGGACCAAAGTTTCTAGCTGACTCTCTGAAATATGACGTTCTGCATTAGAGGAAAATGAATTTGAGCCGAGTGTATTATACAGGATTAATCTGAAAAGCTCAGGCTGAAAAAGGAGCAGCAAAACTATCCACTAAACCTTCAACAGGCCACAGGCGCACTGCACTGCACGCAGTCATGCTCGTTTACCTGAATGATTACTCTGCGTCGGACCACCCTGGTGGTCAGTACATCCTCCTCTGAGCTATCAGAGGACAGCATCCCTAGCTCCTCAGCTATCTCCTGCACATAACCAGCATGGGTCAACATAGCATGGGTCTAAACAGTGTCTACAGTTAACTTCTGCAGCCACAGGTCTCTGTGCAATGCTGTGAAAACTGAGTACACTGTTACTGCTTCCACAGGAATCAAGAGGGTAAGTAGCAGTAGCAGGTTCTGCTAATCAAATGCATGTGAGCAGAAGTCTACAGCATTCAGGTGAGCATCAACACAAGCAATGAACTGCCCAGATTGTTGGCCAGAAGTTGTTGCTGTCCATCAATCTGACGTCCAAACAAGTCAAAGTGGAAACATTGTTAGCAGGAGTTAGAGGCGATGAGCTGCACTTGGCCTGGGTACGTGCAGTCAGTGTAGGGAAGTCCTGAATCCCAGAGTCAAATGAAAGGCCACCTGTACCGAAGACGCTACTACTACTGAAGAACAAAGGGGGGTCTGAAGTACTCCCACAAATCTGCAACAGAACGGCTAAAAAATAAAAGACTCGAGCTGGGGTAGTAGTCCAAAGACCAGAACTCAACTCTTTACCTTAAGAGAGCTGTGCATAAACAAAAGCATAACTGCACTGCCCCATATGACTGTATCCTTCATAGCTAAAGGAAATTCTTTTTGCATATATTTAAGGGGGGGATTATCTGTACATGTGAGTGGGATGAACTGCAACAGGCAGAAATCAAAGCAAACAGGTGCAAATGTCTCTGTTAAAGACTCCTTACAGCAGCTCATGCATTTCAGCAACAGTTTGAGATACTGCAAACAAACAAACCCCAAACAGCACACTGGTGTGAGGAAGAAGTGTTTGTGTTATGACATTTGCAATATTTCTAATATTTATGCACACAAAAGCATTTCAGTGTCTTTTAGTCTCCAAAGTACCGACTGCTTGTTTGTCTCTTGATTTAGGAATGCAGATCCACAGCACTGTGCTCATGCTCAACCTCTTACCCGTCCCAGGAAGTCATCATCGTCATAGTATTCTGCCTGATCTCTGGAAGGGAGCTCCTCCAGTACAGGGAGCCCACTGTCTGTCTGATACGCCTCTACATCATAAGCAATTCAGGAAGACTTTCGCTGCTGGTAGAGAAGAGATTTCTATCTTCTGCCCGCAAGAAGAGCTGGTTTGCTTGAGTAGCACGCTGAAGGCCAGTATCAAGACTACTCCCAGGTACTGGTGAAGGGGGTTCAGAGATATGATAGGTAATCACATCTTCTGGTTCCGAAAAGTCAGAGAAGGCTTGTCTGCAGTCAAAGAACTCCATATCTGAATCAGAGTGCTGTGGAGATTCAGAGCCCTTGAAGTGCTGCTTTACTGGGACATTCGGTTTACCTAATTCAGATTCGGACGCTTGTTTCTCTCTAGTTCCTGTGAGGACCTTCTTAAAGTCTGGTGAAAAGTCTTCGGTGTCTCCAAGGGTTTCAGACTCTTTCTTAGTCAGAGCTTGGCTCTCAAGCTTAGCTGACATAGAGTCGCTGAACACTGACAACAGGAGGCTCCTGTCATTCAAGGACACTTGGCTACAGTCAGGAGCTCTCAGATGTTCTGGAAGCATTGCCTGGTAATCTCGATCAGGAGTTGGCGAGGGTGAAAAGTGCTCACTAGATTGTGCTTCCTTCAGGGACAGCTCCCACTCAGAGCACCTGTGGGATGCAAATGAAGCCTTCTCACGTGAAGGCAGAATTGGAGTAACAGCTCTGTGAGTTGTGTATGTGCTGTGTTCAGGTAGCTGTAGAGGGACTGATGCCATCAGCTTGTCTTCACCAAAGAGCACACCTATGTTACTGCTCTGCTGTGTAGCAGACTGAAGCTGTGTGTCATCGTCTGTTTGAAACCGTGTTTCCTTTGGTGTCTCAGGAGCCTGGAAGTGAAATTTCAACATTATCTCAGTAGCTAACTAAGAATACCAGAGGGTGAGCTTTAACCATGCAGACAAAGCCTTTTTTAATCCAGAAAAACAAAGCAAGTTTAGTCTGAGTTTAGGGAAATAGGTTTACTGCTTAGAAATGTGCAACAGACTGCAAAAAGTGCCCCTCAATAAACAACCGTCTGTCGTCAGACAAATGAACTGAAGGGAATAATTAGTAGCTCACGACACATCCCCAGCATTAATGCACTCCATGTTGTTGTTAGTTCAGCAATGTATTTTCCTTTTTTTGTCACACAGTTACACTTTTTTATGTCCAAGTGACATAAAAGGTTACGTTAATGAAAACTAGTTACTCTCTGCTGGATTTCATGCTTTCAGTCTTACCCTTTGAGAGGCTAGCTTGGTCTTTAGATCATCAACACTAACAGGCTGGGTCTTCTTCTGCTTTCCTTCACCATCATTAACATGTGAGTCTTCCTCACAGACGGTGGTTTGTAAAGTTGAGAAGCTTCCAACCTGGGATCCGGGCTCCATCCATTCTTTGTATGACTGAAATTCTGGTTGTAATTCTTTCATTTCTTGCCACTTAGGATGTTCTTCACCAGACTTATCCCCAATTTGAATTACTAACGGTGACATCGCTATTGGGCTTTTGATAAGTAACGATGAAGATGGACCAGAGTCTAATTCCTCCTCTGATTCTGCAGTTTCAGGGCTCAAAGGTCGCGAAATATCATTAATCCAACAATCAACAGGCAAGGCCACAAACTCAGAGTCTGATGCAAAAGAAACCGGAGAAGATGATCTATCTACTGGAGTAGCATTCATAAAATAAGATGACAATATTCTCATAAATTCAGGTACCGGTGAGTCAGGTAACAGTTGTTCAAACTCACCGAGAGACGACACAGATTCAGGTGAGGATGGTCTGTCACTACCAGCAACTTTTGATGATTTGACAATCAACTCGTACTCTGAGTCTGAACTCTGTGATTCAGTTGACGATGACTCACAAATAGTGCTGTAAGCCTCCAACGACTCTGTAAACTGAGGGATGGGAGAGTCTGGAGACAGCGGCCTGTTCTCATTGAACTCTGGCATTGATTCTGGAGATGATGCTCTTTTGTCAGCCATGTGTACGGCAGATTCAAATGACACAGGTATGTATTCAGAGGACTCGGAGGATAGTGGCCTGTCTGTCTCGTTTTGATCATCAAACAGTGGAACTTCCACAGATGATGGTCTGCATTCTACAAAGTCAAAGTCTAAATTCAGTGGCATATGATCTGAACCCAATGCTAAAGGTGACGATGATGATCTGGGAAACATTACACATTCTGACAATGCCACTGTAAATTCTGGTACTGGAGAATCTGGTGAAAGTGGTCTGAACTGACTGACTGATGTCACAGGTCCTGGTGATGGTGCTCTTGCATCTAACACCATGACTGCATTGGGGGACATGGAGGATTCTGGTGAACCTTCATCCTGTGTTTCTGCCTCAGGCAATTCAAATATAGACTTTCCCTGTCTGTATGGAAGTGCTCGTGAAGAGAAAATGTGTTCAGTCATAGGTGGAAGTGACTCTGCCTCCTCTGAATTTTTATCCTTTTCTGTCCGATTTTCGTCATCTGTTTCACTTCTCTCGTAGTCCATTGTGCTGTCAACAAACTGTGTAAACCTTTTTTTACTATGCAAAGTTTCTCTGGCACACTGAAGATGACTTGCTTGAGAACTTGGACTCCATCGCTCAGCATCATCAGCGAGATTATACTCAGTTACCATAATTAGTGATTCTTTAGGGTCAGGTGGGTCTTTTGATTCATTTAAAGATGATCTGGATGCAAGTATTTCCTCCATATCTAATACTAAAGATTCAGGTGATGTTGTTCTTTCTCCCGTACAGAATGGAGCTGAAGCCTGGGATAAACTGTCAGAATCTGAAAAGTCTAATGGTGACATGTTTCTCACACACGTGAAAGTTTCCACAAAACTCTTTGTGAAATCGGGCACTGGTGATTCAGACCCCAGGAGTTCGTCATATGATCTTTCGGACTGCGCTGACAATGCTCTCTTGGTAGTGACTCTTGCGTTAAATGGAGAATATGTCAGATCACAGTCCAGATCTGAAAACAATGATGATAATGATTCAGAGGATGAGCTGCCATAAAGTGTTCCTGCTGCTGGAGCCTCAAAAACATTTTGTGCAAACCAAGGGAGAGGTGAGTCTGGAGAAAGCTTCTTGTGTTCATCAAATGACTGAGTAGATTCTGGAGATGCTGATCTAATGTTTCCAAGTAGCACTAATGTCCCAGGAGACATGGGCCTGTATTCTGGTATAGATTCAACAGAGAGCGGCCTTTCTTCTGTTTCTGATTCTACTGATTCAGGAGAATCTGGTCTGTTCTCAACACAGAAAATTGTGGACATCAAAAAGTCCCTCACAGCGTACTCGACATCTGATTCAATGGATTCAGGAGAGGAT